CTCACAGAATAAATACCATCGGTCCCTTGGTGTTCGTCCTAAAGAGGTTCGACTGGATATCATTCATACTCACCAAAAGATGTGTAAGATTTTATTATTGTGGAGTGCCTTGTTTATCTCTCAGTACCTCCAACCATAGCCTCGCCCCTTTTCTCCTCAGGATCAGTGTAGTTGTTGGAACGAGGCTTTGGACTCAGCAATTATTCGTTTACATTTTAATACATGTTTATTGTTCCTCTTTTGCTGTGTTGTTTTAGACAATCGTGGACTAACAGTTTGAAGTCATTGAACTACTTCCAAAAGTTGTATCGATATCAACAGGATTACGATTTCAGTTTCAATATGATGCTGGATGACCTTATCACGATAACCCATGACTATAAACACAGAATCAACAAAAACATCTGCGACACGCACATGGCGCGTGGCTACATTTCTCAAATACATCTGATTGAGGGTGGAGAAATCTGAAATATCTGAAAGGCAAGACAATTTTATGACAGTCATGAAATTCTGCAACAGCAAGATGCACAGAATGACCTCCGTATAAGAAAAGTATCACCACCACTGCTCACATGTTGTCCCGCAGAAGAACATGCATCATGCTAGTGCCATTTTCTGCAAGAAAAGGCTTGCACATCAATGCGTATAACTATAATAATGGTATTGATATGATGTGAAGGCCATCATTTACATATTGATATAGGGCATTACATTGATTGGTGACAGAAAAACAAAAGAAATTATAGCAATAAAAACTGCTTTATGGCAGTTTTCTAAAAAAGGTTATTGTGTTCTTGTCCATGGACCCCGTCTAAAAAGTAAGAAATTAACGAAATGTGATAGCTGAAAATTAAAATTTCACACAAAACATCACAATAATCACACACAGAATGAAAAGCTACATGCAGAAGACCTTTTCCCCTCGTGATCCTCTTTCCTATGCATGCATGTTGCCAATTGTTGGTGCAGTACAAGTTTAGTGTTGAAAGCAGCATTTCAAGTGTTGTGATTATTGTGAGGTTTTGTGTGAAATTTTAATTTTCAGCTACAGTAGAGTCGCGCGCTGAAGAACGTGGAGCCCAAGAACGTCTAGCCTGAAATACTAAGAACGCCACAGCCTAAAGCTAAGAACGTCGGTGTTTTTTTTTCTTGCATCTTGTGGGATACAGATGATCCAGTACGGACTATTTCTAAGAACGTGCTATAAGAACGCAGCCAGATTGCTGAAAAATAAGAACGTCCCAGGCTAACCCTTTAGAAACAACGTTCTTGGGCGCGCGACTCTACTGTATCACATTTCGTTAATTTCTTACTTTTTAGACGGGGTCCATGGACAAGAACACAATAACTTTTTTTAGAAAACTGCCATAAAGCAGTTTTTATTGCTATAATTGGTACTGCGACTGGAGGTGCACCCTCGCTGGGGACGGAACCAACTGGGGTGTCGTTGTCTTCTTCGTCGTCATCGGCTTGTTCGTCATTGCCTTCGTCTTTATCGTCTCTTCCTTCTATCCCGTCATCATCGTTGGTATCTGCGGTTTCGTCTTCTTTGACTTCCTTGGTACCGTCATCCGGTGTTTCCACCTCCGGTGGCAAAAAGCGTGGCCGGCCACCGAAGAAACCACCGGATGGTGTGTCTGCGGGACCAGTGACTCGCTCTAGGGCGAGGTTAGCAGAGTCTTTATCGTCTCCGTCGTTGTCGTCATCGTCGTCGTCAGCGTCTTCCTCATCTCCCTCCTCCTCTTCATCAACATCAACAGTCATTGGAACGTCAAAGGGAGCATCATCGCAGCAGGCAGTGCCAGTAACGGACGTGCCTTTGGTACTGACATCTACATCGGCCTCGTCTGGATTGGCAGTAGCGGCAAGGAATGTCAGGTCGGTTTCATTGTCACGTAATTCCAAAGTATGTACTGGTTCTAGTAGCGTTGTTAGGGTGTATGAATCTTCTGTTGCCAACCATCTTGTTCAGAATAGTGATTGTCGTTCTAGTTATGCTGATGATTGCTTTTCTGTTTGGTCTCGTTCACGTACTTCAAGTAGTCAAAGGTATTTGCGTGTATTGGAGTCTATCTACATTTTCACCACCAAGCCGATGTTGTGTAGGCAGAAAAAGAATTTGTTTACGTTGAAATTGTTTGTGAATTTAGATCAGTAGTTCTCGTTTGTGGTTGCATGGTAACTTTCTAGTGGTGAATTTATCGCATCTGTTGTCACCTGATATCGTTGAATGGTGTAATGTTTCTTTCAGCTCTCATTTTATCGCGCTAGTTAGGGTCTAAATTATTACTTGCATTGTGCGTATATATATTGAGTTAAGAGCTATTGTTGATTTGCCAGTAATCCTCTGATGAGATGGCGACGAAAACGTTTAGGAACAAGCTTCTTTATTTACATGAAAACAAGTTTTGCTTATGGTGTTTGTACTGAGTGCGCAGCTTACTCTATTTATTGCGTTGATTATTATTATTATTATTATTATTATTATTATTGGTTTGAGGGAAAGAGACAAACGGGAAAAGTCTGAAGAAAAAATTGACTGTCACCACCAGGACTCGAACCAGGGACCCTCGCTTGTAGCCAGCGATGCTCTAACCACTGAGCTATGGTGCAGTCGTCATCCCAGCAGAGGCCGTTCAACATTTTCCTCAGACTTCATAACTCACACTTCCTGTGAATCCACACAGGCGGGTGGGACGCAGCCCTCACTGTAACCCACACACTTCACGTACAAACTAGCACGCGGGGAGCCCCAAGTCATAAAATAGTAACTGGTTTGAGGGAAAGAGACAAACGGGAAAAGTCTGAAGAAAAAATTGACTGTCACCACCAGGACTCGAACCAGGGACCCTCGCTTGTAGCCAGCGATGCTCTAACCACTGAGCTATGGTGTAGTCGTCATCCCAGCAGAGGCCGTTCAACATTTTCCTCAGACTTCATAACTCACACTTCCTGTGAATCCACACAGGCGGGTGGGACGCAGCCCTCACTGTTACCCACACACTTCACGTACAAACTAGCACGCGGGGAGCCCCAAGTCATAAAATAGTAGCTGGTTTGAGGGAAAGAGACAAACGGGAAAAGTCTGAAGAAAAAATTGACTGTCACCACTTAGGCCAAACTAAAGAAGGTGTGTGGTTCGACTAACATGGACATTTTTTTTACGGGCGGGCGGGCGGGTTTTTTTTAAATATATGTATGATTTACTGCACGAGTACAAACGAGTACAAGGGCAATACGAGCCGGCTGATACATGACCGAACGGCGCCAGCCGTGAGGTCATGTATCAAGCCGGTATTGCCCGTGTACGAGTGCGTACGAGGCGCAGTAAATCATTTATTGCATGCTTGACCCAAACATTCCAGAAAATGGAGAGAAACCTTTCCGACTTTCTCAGTCTCCCGACACACTTGTTCAGTGGTAAACGTCGTTTGTGGTTTTGAAATTCTCTATTTCTTTACGATATCGATGGTGTTGTTGTTCGTGATTGAGCACTGAGTGTAGGAAGTCCTGGAACAGGAACTGAAACTGGGATGGGCTCCACAACTTCGTCTCAAACGCATTCAGTTCGTCAAGTAAATTCGTCGGCTGCTCACCAACGCATCGATATCGATGTCAAGGTTGCATTCACCTGCTGAGGCGGCTGGTTCAGGTGGCTGGAACAAGTAAGTTATTGTCAGCTCAGTTACATGCGCGCGCGTGTGGTCTGTCATTCTCGTGCTTTGTAGTTTGTAGTCAGATCAAGTTAGTTGCTGTTTTGTGTTTCAAATTTGAAACTCCGAACAGTAGACACTTGATCTGATCACGAACCACAAAGTACAAGAATGACAGTCCGCATGCGCGTACATGTAACTGAGCGGGCAATAACTTGCCGGGCAATACCGAGAAATACAGACCGCTGAGCAAGAGCGCTCATTGGCTGTAGTACAGGCAACCCTCACGTGACATGCAATAATTTTTAGTACATGTAAATACACTGTACTGCCTTTAGACACCCAGTACATCGGCATTATTACGCAGTGTTATGCCATACATGTTGTATAAAGGGATCACTGGCTAATACTTTGAAACATTGTGTAACTCTGGAACGAGAAGAGAATAACTTCAAGCGGTGACTCTGACTGTCCAAATCATCAAGCAAATGAAGAACGATGCGAGTTGAAAGTAAGTTCGGGAACTACTTCGAAGTACAAATTGTACAATGTACCGGTACATGTATTGCTAGTTTGGTGTCGGCGTGCACGAATACATGGGCTTTTTCCATCGACGCTTCCTGTGCTTGCACACATGGAGCAGCAACTTACCGGTACAGGTGAAATATCGTTCCCAATACACGAGGAAAGTGCAATCTCGTCTGTCCTTCATCCCAAAACAGAAGGCCGTCCTTAATCTGGAACGAGGCAATCACTCTCAACCGGACGGTCACTTCAAAATAAGTCTCGCCAGTCTGCCGGTGGTCGTATCGAGTAGACTCTACTACCAGCACAAGGCACCAGTCGTACAACTCACTGCACTGCAGTGAGTTGTACGACTACAAGTCCAAAAGGAGCCGCCTGCGTCCGCAGACTCACGCTGCACAGCACGTAGACGTGGACGTGTTCCACGTAGAGTACGTCAGTCACACGACAGCCCGCCGAAAAAAAGTTACGGTCGGGCTGAAAAATGTACGGTCGGTCGGGTGAGTCGAACCACAGACCTTCTTCAGTGTGGCCTTATTATCATTATTATTATTAGCAAGAGTACGTCGTACTGTATACATGTACTCTTGTTATTAGGGAGGTTCTGCATGCTCTACGCTAGCTACGTTTTGGGAACGCGACGCAAGGGAACGAGTGAAAAAGGATACAAGAAAAATGCAAGCACAGCAATTCGGTACGGTGAAGGTCGCGGGTTGAACCTGTAAGAATATACCGTAGAACCTTTTTGGGTACTCGGGGTCAGAAAGAAGCAGGGAGCAGTATAGTACAATACTACTCCCTGCATGCTGCTACAGCCCACCATTCCAGTAAGACACGCATGCGTACAGTTAGTTCAGAATGCACAATTCCACGAAAACGAAGGAAGTGAAGACATTCTTGTTATTGTTGTTGTTGTGGTGGTCTAGCTAAACGACCCCTTCTACCTCATCATGTCGACCTTTCGTGTTCTTTTCTGTCTCGCCCTACTCGGCTTGACTGGATCGTTCGTGGCAGGACAAGCAGGACCAACGGCTCCTCCACCGCAAGCAGGAACAACGGCTCCTGCACAGCAAGCAGGAACAACAGCTCCTGTATCGTCTACCGAACCTAATAATACGACGGTCTCTACCAACACCAGTACTACCGCGTCCAGCTTCTCCTGTCGGATGGCGTCTTGCACCGCTGTGTCTGTTGGCATTCTGACCAACCCTACGTGCAAAGGCACAATGCAGACTTGTAACGGCAGCACCACTTGCATCTCCATCGTCCAGTACACTGGTAAGACGATTTGTTCCTGCAGTGCCCCTCTTTTCGAAGAATATGAAGTAAAGGCTGCGCACAACCAAATTCGTAAAAATGATCTAGAACTTTTACTTGTCCATATAAGATTAGTTTCAAGTAGTCCCCATTCCATTGTTACGAAGATTCACTGATCAATGTAACAAGAAAACAGTTCTGAACAAATCCTCTCTTTCCCTTTCGTTGTGTGCCTTGCGATCATCGTATACATACCGGTACATGTACATGTCGACGTAGGAAATGCTTAGAGTACACTTAGTCCTCCTTGTGGCTATATCAAAAAACTGTTGTCTCCGAGACGCTTGTTAACTTTAATTAGTTTTTTTTATTCCAAGCAATACATGGCTGGGGTAGCCAATGACCACAAACCCGGACTTGAACGACTCCCTGATGTACGACTCAGGCCGTCGTTGGCCGGAAATACAAAAAAACAGTACGGGTAAACCGCTTACCTGTTGCCTGTAAAAAAATTAAATAAGAATTACCAGAGAATACTGTAAAAAGAGAGTTCGGCACACCATGCATACATACAACGGAAAAATGAAACATAAATAAGCGCCCGCCCGCACCACTTTCACATGGGTCCTGCCCGGGAACCTCGATTTTATTTTGGCCTCGCCTTACGTACTAAATTTCGTTTTTGGTCGAGGTCTGTCACCCCGAACGTTCCAGGAAAAATTTAGTTTGGTACAGACTTTAGTTATCTCATGCCCCCTAACAACGAATATAGCGAAAGTTATTCCAAACGAACCACTTTACTTATGCAGTACTTTGGCGATCATGTAGCATCTGCAATGCTGCGTAAATTATTCTGGTGCGAAATATGCCCGAAAGTATCGTACATGTAAACGCACGTGTTCTTGATTTCAACCCCCTCCACCATGCTCCAGTCGGTCTGTCTACATAGCGGTTGAAACTCAATCAGGGTCGAACTCAATCCACGTTTTTTTAAACTCTCCTGTGAACACAGCATGATGTTTGTGTGTGTGTGTGTGTGCATGTGGATTCACTGACCACAAAAAGTCACTTCAATCAGCTGTGTGGTGGATACCAGGCTAAAAATTAGTGGCGGTCAATTCATCAGCTTTTCAAGCTGTTGAATGGTGTAATCCCAGCACAAGTTGCTATATCTAACATAGCTGTTCGCTATCATCGCTCCAGCGATGGGCATGTCTCTCTAATATTAGTACTGTAGCAGGTATATAATTATACCTTCACTGGGGGCAGGGTTAAATGCAGTTGGATCCTGGAACAGATACCTAGTTGCCATTACTACTTGTTCTGTACCTTGTGCTCAAGCATAATGTGACGGAGTAAGCCCACGAATAGGATTATTTCCAAGTCCAGCCAGAGTTGGGGGATTTCGGGGGGGGGGGGGGGGGCTGGGGCTGGTGGATGGTTCAACAGCCAACTGAGTCATTTTTCCAAGATTTATTTTTGATTATCTCTCCCCTCTCCTGGGGAGACCCGTGCCACTATTTCCTGGAAGGTCGCAAATGTGTGTGTGTGTGTGCACGCGCCTGTTGGAATACTTGCTCTGCAATGTTGTAGGTATCAAGTCTGTTGGCAAGGCTTCTATCACCCTAGGCTGCGCCACCACTGCCCAACTATCAGAATGCCACAGCGAGGACAACAAAGAACAGTGCAACAGTGCTACCACCAACCAGAAGTGTGTGACCTGCTGCAAAACTGCCAACTGCAACAACAAGTACGACAGCCCCGCTGCTTCAGTGGTCGCCTCGTTGCCTCTTCTTGCTGCCGCCATCATCTCTTCCATGATGTTGTAAATGTTGACAGCGCAATTATGCCCGGTGAGTGAATAGCCTGCTCACAGGTGCAGTACTTGTAGACTGTTGGTGAAATGCTACCACTACAATCATGTAGTTTAGCAGGCCGGTTCATGATCTTCCAAATTGTTTCAGGAGAATGCTGTTGTCCTCGCCGTGTCACGCTTGGTAATATTTTCGCTCTTCACTCTCTTTTTTCCTATTTTCTTACTGGATTTCCTATTTTTGGTGACATTCACACTCCTTGGATTTTCTAAGGTCAAAGATTATGTTGATTATGTATTGCCCGCAAGACTACTGGGTCAGATATTCTGATATGTCAGTTTTCCAGGCTTGCTGTGTATTCGGTATAGTTTCTAACGAATGTAGCTGGTGGATGTCTTTGGAATTGAATGCCAGGAATCACAAGGCCCTCTGTATGTGTGTGTGTGTGTGCATGTGCGTGTGTGGCGGTTAATTCATCAGCCTTGCAAGCTTGAATGGTGTAATCCCAGCACAAGTTGCTATGTCTAACATAGCTGTTCGCTATCATCGCTTCCGCGATGGGCAGGTCTGAGGTGTGTGTGTGTGCAAGTGTAGGGTGTGCATAGGTAACTGTCTTGGCCATTCTATTCCGGGCCGATGTACTCCGTGTGGTGTAGACCAGGTCTGCATTGGGGATCAGTTCACATCGCTTCGCCAGTTGTGTGGATTAGACAGTTTAACTGGCGCTTGTCTTGATCTGTTTCAATCAGAATCAGGGTGCGTTCTTAAATCCTCTCGGAAAAGTTGGAGACTCTCCGAAAAGTTCGACAGCTGTTCTTATATCCTCTCCGACTTTTAGGAGGCTCTCCAAAGCTCTCTAAGCTTCAGAGGTGGTTGAAACTTGGAGATTCCCGCGGTTTGGGATCAGCGCATGCGAACTACGACTAAACGCCACGTGTTCATCATAAGTGCACGCATTTCCCTTTTCGCATACGCACACGTGCATTACTACATTCATCACTCAAGATCGCGGCCCCTTAGGTGCTTCATTTTGCTTGACATGTGCAAAATATCTACGAATTCTTCGAGACCCGTTCTTGAGTAATCCCAGTTTCTTCGACTTCTCTTTTTTCTTCTTCTCCTAGAAGCTGGAGAATATAAGAACGCACCCTTATTATTATAGGGGATTCACACACACGGGTAAAACCACAGTTATGGGAAAGTTGTTATGGAAACTATGGTACTGGGGGAAAGGAAGAATCTGTCGGGAAAAAATTGGCAAAGCCGTGGCCGTGGGCCTCAGGGCGTTTGTCAAGGGAAAAAGTCCACGGCTATTCGACGCACATGCGTAGATCTTGTCTTTGGCGAGAACTCTGAACCCTAGTTGTACGAGTGCATCGCAACCCGCATTTTCAGGCAGTGCGCTCGCACGCATTGCAGACAATGGACCCACGCATTGCGAATGCGAAACATAGTACTAAATGTACTACAAAAAATGCAGTACAGACTACGTTTTGTACTCCCCCGCCACAAATTCATGGTCAGACATGAGGCCAAGGGAAAAGTGACCAAGCGTGTGAACGGCCCCACTCAGTTGCCCGACGGTCTGAACTTTTACCTTGTCCCGTGACCTCAGGTTTTCCCGTGTGTGTGAATCCCCTATTAGATCCGCTATCATTGCTATAAGTATTATAGCAATAAAAACTGCTTTATGGCAGTTTTCTAAAAAAAGTTATTGTGTTCTAGTCCATGGACCCCGTCTAAAAAGTAAGAAATTATCGAAATGTGATAGCCGAAAATTAAAATTTCACACAAAACCTCACAATAATCACAACACTTGAAATGCTGCTTTCAACACTAAACTTGTACTGCACCAACAATTGGCAACATGCATGTCATACATGCATAGGAAAGAGGATCACGAGGGGAAAAGGTCTTCAACACGTAGCTTTTCATTCTGTGTGTGATTATTGTGAGGTTTTGTGTGAAATTTGAATTTTCGGCTATCACATTTCGATAATTTCTTACTTTTTAGACGGGGTCCATGGACTAGAACACAATAACTTTTTTTAGAAAACTGCCATAAAGCAGTTTTTATTGCTATAATTTCTTTTGTTTTTTCTGTCACCAATGAATAGAATGTCCTATATCAATATGTAAATTTAAACTAAATGATGGCCTTCACATCATATCAAGAGATCAATACTGTATTATACGCATGATGTGCAAGCCTTTTCTTGCAGAAAATGGCAAAATGCATGTTCTTCTGCTGGGAAACATGTGAGTACGTAGTGGTGGACCGTGGTGATACATTTTTTATACGGAGGTCATTCTGTGCATGTTGCTGTAGCAGAATTTCATGACTCTGTCATAAAATTGTCTTGCCTTTCAGATATTTCAGATCTCCCCACCCTCGATCAGATTTACATGTATTTGAGAAATGTAACCAGGTGCGTGTCGCAGATGTTTTTGTTGATTCTGTGTTTATAGGTTTATAATCAATGGTTTTCGTGATAAGGTCATCCTGCATCATATTGCACTGAAATCGTAATCCTGTTGATGTCGATACAACTTTTGGAAGTAGTTCAATGACTTCAAACTGTTAGTCCACGATTTTCTAAAACAACACAGCAAAAGAGGTACAATAAACATGTATTAAAATGTAAACAAATACATTGCTGAGTCCGACACCTCCTTCCAACAGCTACACTGATCCTGAGGATAAAAGGGGCAAGGCTATGGTTGGAGGTACTGAGAGATAAACAAGGCACTCCATAAAAATAAAATCTTACACATCTTTTGGTGAGTATGAATGATATCCAGTCGAACCCCTTTAGGACGAACACCAAGGGACCGATGGTATTTATTCTGTGAGTTTGTCTTAACCTATTTATAACCAGTGAATACAATTATTTCTCCGATAGACATACGAATAGATTTCTTCTACAGCGAAAGATGATTCTAAGCCACACCAACTCATTGACTCGTCTCATATGAAACAAATGAGTCACCAGAGAGGTTCTGCAAAACGAAAATGCGTACAAACTTTCGTTCTATGTCATGAAGTGCGAAACTTCGCACGAACTTTCGCAACTTTGGACGCGAAACTTGCAGGGAACGCGAAATAAACTGTCGTAGGAAAATTCGTGAGATCGGGTCATGGCGTACGTGCACTTGGCCCGCGCAAACTACGAAAATGTGCAGAACGCAAAATTCGTGCAAAAATTCGTACACACTTTCGCAAGGACTGTCGCGAAACTTTGTTCGAATTTTCGTTTTGCAGAACCTCTCTACTGAACCTTTCTTTAGAAACATGACGGCAACTGAAACAGCAACAGAGAAAGTACGATACATGTACAGCACATTCTTGCAGGTACACCTACTACAAACAGATTGCGGATCATAATTCTTGCTTTGGCGGCACGAAACTTTATTTGGGGCAGTGCAATTTCGGCGGTACTCACAAATAATAAATCAAACAGCCCAGACTCGAGTAAACAAATCCAATCATACAAGTACAAGATCTTCACGAGACTGCACCCATTGGCTTGTTTCGTATGAAGCAAACAAGTTACTGATCCTCTCGACAATGGAGATTTTCCCTGATATGCGAATATATTTTGCAAACTCGGTCAATGGGTCCTTGAACCTTTCCCTCCAGATTGGGACCTGCCAACGATAGTATGCCACTGACCAGTGCCTTACTTGTAACGTACCAATGTACAATGAATATGAGTACATGTATTTCGACAACACATCTAACATAAGCCTTACCGTCCAGAAGGTGAACTCGCGTTCTTCGCACACTGTAGACAAGGGCAAAGAGATAAAAATGGATCTAAATCCGAATAAAATCAGCACACGTTTCCGTAAATGAAAGGGTGAGCATAAGCAAATGAATCGAAGGAAGCAAAGAGATCCTGTCAGCTTTTCCATTATTAATTTTATTGCATTCCGCCCAAAATCAGCACACTTTTCGTAAATGAAAGAGTCAACACAAGCAAATGAATCAAAGGGAACTGGTCAACTCACCTGTCATTGAGTAATATTCCGCGAAAGGAGGTCTCAGTAGCGCCGAAACGAAAGCCAGGCCAGGAGACGAAATATCCAAAACAGCTCATACAAGAAGCAGTTCCAAAGAAGGAAAGTTCCTCGCGCATGCACATCCGAACGTTCGAACACGGACTGCACTGCAACACAATGTTTGCCGTGCAAGTGCACCGCACGCGGCTACCACCCGTTGGTAGATCTAATACCGAGCACCTTACGTAGAGACTTACGTAGCCTAAGTGAAATACCGAGCACCTTACGTAGAAACTTACGTAGCATAGCGGTGTCGTTTTTCTTGCCATGTGAACACAATAATAGAAAAGCTGACAGGATCGCTTTTCTAAATAAAGAGAAAATCTGTGGGTGCACATCCAGTGCATTAGCAGATTTGCATGCTTCTCTTGCGACGGTCGTTTAGGGCGCGTTCAGACTACCGTGAACCCCGTCAAACCGTGAATGCCGATAAACCGTGAAGGACATTCACACTACCGATAACAAACTAACGTGACCGTGAAGTTTTCAGCTCTCACCGCGGCACTGACAAGGGATTTTCCCTTTTTTTCGCAGCGCGCATGCAGCCTGAGCACTTTTTTACTGCCGGTAAAAGTTTACTGCCGCATCAGCCGCGGCAGTAAAACTTTCCCACCGGTAACGTGCCAGTAACGTCACGTGATCAAATCACCTTGGCGACTTTCCCTATCGGTCACTTTTTATCGGTAGTCTGAACGCGCCCTTACATGGTAGAGTAGAACCCGAGGGGAATGGTCTTGGTCCGAAGCCTCTACGACGAATCGTTCTTGAGATATTTCACTTTGAAATTGCAAAAACGGGGGCCGCGCCCTGACGTCATGCGGCCATTTGGCTACGTCATCACGGGCTGCCTACGTCATTGTGGCATAGTCGTCTCTCTTCGCCAATCTACAAGCACTAATTTTAGTTGGTATTTCAAGGGAAGATGGGCGATTCCGAACAATCCTCTGTCCCCAGCAATGAAGGCAGCGATGCTGAGGCCAGTGAAGACGACCAACAGCCCACCGCCGCGTATGGTTGGGGCAGGGAGCTCAGATACTCTGCTGAGGAGCTGCCATCGCGTGTAACAAATGTTGAGGAAGAAGATACTTCAGCAGCTGCGTGCGACAGAAGACGAGTAGCTTGGCCACCAGAATCTCGATTCGTTTGGGACTCCGACTGGTGAGAGCGTGGACAAAAGTGTATACCCATGCCCAGCCCGCGGGAATGATTTTGCTGGTAGGGTGCTGCCGTCGCTGTCGACAAGGCGGCCCAAGGTTTCTTGCGTAGCGGACCTCGCAGATTACGAGATCGTATCCTTGCATTAGGCTGTGCCCACCACTGCTCTTCGAGGTTATCTCGACATGCAGAAGCCGCCAATGCCA